GGAGGGCTCAGTTAACGTATGTATAATTTAGTGGGATGTATGAGTAAGTGCATTATGTGAGATTCCTAGATGGGGTTAATGGGAGATGTCTGGTATTTCATAATAGACATAGCAGTCTGTCTGCCTTTCACGACTTAAATTTTAAGGACTATTGTAATATTTTCCTCTTCCAAGTTTCTAGCAATATTCTAATTGCAATATGTGGTCTACCTAATTTCCGACTAGATTAAAAATTTTCCTCTTTCTTTTTCCTTTTACAAAATCAATTTTAGAATATGCTACTGGGTAAAAATGGTTTCTATATATAAAGTATTGGAGGAAAATATATATAGTAAAATGTTTTTAAAAACTTGCCGTGGTAATTTTAAAACACCATGGTAAAAAAAAAATCAATTTTCTAAGGGAAAGGATTTTCTTGTAATAGTGGATTGTAGGGGAGGAAGTTAGAGATTAGTGTACATTTTATTTTATTGTTAGAAACTTTGGATATGTACTTTACAAAGTGCACCGTTAAATTTTGTTATTGAATTATATTGCTTAATTCTTTTCTACTTTTGAAACTGTTGTATTTACACTTATAGCAGGTAATTGTTTATGCCAGGCATGGTTAACTCATGCCTGTAATCCCAGCTACTGGGAAGGCTGAGGCAGGAAGATTGAAAGTTCAAGATCAGCTTGGGCAACTTAGTGAGACCCTGATTCAAAAAAGAGCTGGGGAGTAAAGCTCCTTGTTAGAGCATTTGATTGGTATGTGCAAGGGCCCTAGGTTTAATCTCTAGTAACTCCCCCACCCCATTAAGTACTGGGTATTTAAAATTGAAAATAAGGGATTGGAATAAAGGTTATACAGTGAGATTAAAGAGTTAAATTTGAAGGTCATAAGCACTGAGGAGAATCTAGGAAAGGTGTGGTATAAAGGAAATCAAGGAAGGTATTTTAAGTGTGAATGACCAACAGTGTTCAGTGTTGCAGAAGCCTTAAATGATTGGCTAAGAAGAGACAAGTTAGCAACCAAAAAATTAGGAATACACACATGCACACACACATAATGGTATTTAACAGTTGGCTGGGGGTCAGAGGTTTAGTTTTTCCAGATTTCTGTGGTAAAAATATTTTTATTATGGCTAATTTTAAGCTACCAACATCTTGTCATTAGATCTGGAGTAGAGAAGAGATGTTTACAACCAGCAGTGTACCACTACATATAAGAAATTCATGTTATTCAATAAGGAAAAGGAAAACCTAATCTAAATATGGGCAAGAATATGAACAGGCAGTTCACAGAGGGGAAATATGAATGGTCAATATATATGCAAAGATGTTTATTTTACTAGTAAGTAGGGACATACAAATAAAAAATATAACACTAACAACAACAAAACCTTTGTTTTTATCCATTAGAATGCAAAAGTGTTTGATAATATCAAATTAGGTGAGGACATGGAGGGAAATAGTGATAGTCTCACATTGACAGGAGTGTAAATTAGTGTAACTGTTCTTGAGGGCATCCTGGCAGTAGTTATTAAAATTGGAAATGTGCTTTCCTTCGACCTAGCAAATCAGATTCTAATTTCTCCTTTGGGGTGGTATTCTTACTTGCACACAAGAAGATGAATATATTCATTATGGTATTATTTGTAATAAAATTTACAGAACAATATATCCAGTGGTAATATTGTGGTTGTGCTAAAAAACAACCTAGTCCTGTGTACATTATTTATATAATCTGAGCATTTTTTTGAGTGTTTAGAGAAAGAAAGGAATTCAGGAAATAAGAAGTAGAGAATGGGAAGGGATATATTTGCCCACAGTATGGGTAGTTTGATCAAGGAAAGGAAGAGAAATCTTACAATTAAAAAAAAAAAAAAGGATAAATACAGAAATTATAACATTGGAACAAAAATTGGAAAGCTATCACAAGTTAGGGTAGGAGAGAAGGAATTTATAGATGATGGTGTTCCTAAAAATCAATAGATCACTTTGTTTAAAAAAAAAAGAGAGAGATACATTCATAGAGAATGGGGAATTCATATGGTTTTTTAAAAAAATTTATGAATTCCGTTTTGAGTTAGTATCTCAAAGTAACAGTTTTTTGGTTTTTTTTCCTAATCCATGGAAGACAAGTAGGTTATTCTTTCTTCCCTTAAATGTTGAAATTGAATTTGGAATTTTTTTTTTTAATATCTTTTAGTTTTCGGCGAACACAACATCTTTGTCTGTATGTGGTGCTGAGGATCGAACCTGGGCCGCACGCATGCCAGGCGAGCGCACTACCGCTTGAGCCACATCCCCAGCCCTGAATTTGGAAATCTTGACAGCACTTTTCTGATAATTAACTGTTATCTAGAGATAGTAGTCCCTAAAGGAAGGCAAGATGGCACGGTCTAAAACAAACCAAAGTGATCATACTCAACCATCTGACAAAAGTGCTTGATTAGACTTTTTCTCATATCATCAATGCCATAGTTAGTTTGCCAAAAAACAGATCTAATTAGTTTGTGTTCTGTCTCAGAACTTTAAAATCACAAAAGATAGACATGGTAGTGTTTTGGTTTGGTTTAATTTGGGCTTTATATGTTAAACATTCACATTTAAATAATATATTGGTATTTCTAAAAATTTATAAAGCCCAACTAAAACATTATAACTGAGATTTTAGTTCAGAAACATGGAATTAAAATTTTGCCTCATTTGTCAATTACTTAATTCTTTTTAGTTCAGTACTTATAAAAACCACTGAAGAGATAGACAGGTCAGGGAAGAACATAAAAACATTTCAGGAATAGTAAACATTGCATGTTCTCTCAATTTATTCTTTAAAATTTCCATTAAGATAAATTGTATTAAGTTCAGCTTTTGATATACTTCTCATTTCTTCAGAAACTTTAGTGGTTTTCTACCAAATAAGTCCAGAAGCTTTAGAGTTCCAGTATGCAAAACAGTAAATGAGAGAATGCATATTTCCTGTTTCCATTGCCCAAAAGATTATTTTTTATAGACAAATTTAGTTTAAAAGCAGTACTTAACCAAGGCTCTTGTGTTCTATCATCCAAGCACAATAATATAGAATCAAAAATTTTAAGTGAGAGTTAGTTAAAAATTAGTTGCTTTTTGTACAAAGACTCCAAAACATAGATTAGCAAATACATAGTTTTATTTTGTTAGTGATAGTTCATGAACAGAACCAGTGAGAGGAAATGCTGCCATGGTAACATAAGCCAGACTGTTATTTGCAGCAGTACTCAGGATACTTTACTGCCCTGAAACTGCAAGTTTTTAGTACTAGATCTTGCAATTTGCTATTTCAAGGAAATAGTAATTCTACTGTGATAAAAACAATTTGCAGTACTCTCACAATAGAATTTGAAAAGTAGACTTGAACTAAATTGTTTCTAGGAGTGGAAAACCTAGGTAGAATATGGCTAAAATTATTAAAAGAATTGTTTCATTCAGTGTATGAAAAATAATGCCTGCATATCTTTCTTTTTTTTTTTTTCTTTTTTTGAGGCAGTGTCTCCCTATCTTGCCTCGGCTGGTCTCAAACTCCTTGGGTTCAAGTGATCTTCCTACCTATCTCCTAAGTATCTAGAACTATAGGTACCTACCACTGTGCCTGGCTCCTTGCATTATTATTATTTCTTCTTTCATCTTTCTTCTTCAATTGAATTGGCTTTGGGACAAAGAGTATTATAGTTGCTAACATTTCAAAGTTTTATTTCCCTTCCTTAAAGCATATTTATCATTTGGTTCACATGACCAAATATATATCTAAATTTCATCACTTAATCCAAAAAACATTTGTAAAACTTTTTTTAAACCAAAAATCATAATGTTGAATACTTCCTTGGTATAATTTATGTGATATCTTGCTACTAAATACCAGAAAGATTGATCTGATATTCTAATACATTCTTCCTATATGATAATGTGATAGGATATCCATAGTTTTTCTTTTCCTTTACATTTAAATTGCTGGGATGTTTAAAAATGCCTTATACTCAATTGTTGTATCTTTTCACAGATAGGAGTTTTTTGTTTCCTTTCTAAATTTTTTTATCCCTATTTATTATCTAACTTGTGTCTCATGGTCAGAATTAATTTATTTTTGTTCTTATTATTAGTTTTGTTAAACTCTCTTATCTCTTAGGAGTAAAGGAATAAGAATATAATGTTATTTACCAATATTCAATAAACCTTTCTATGTGCCAAGTTTGGAATAACCCACTTATTTTGCAGCTGTGTCATCTACATATAAATTACCTTTTTGAATCTCATCCCACCTTAGTGAAGTGGCGTGGATTAGTGTTTTGTTTGTGGATAAAATGTGTTAGGAGGTCTAATTCTCAGAGATTAAAATATTTGTCCAGTGTCACATAGCCAGTCAATAAGCAATGATTGGGATCTCAGTCTTTTGTTTTGTGTTTTATGTTTGTTTTCTTATTCTGACGATTGGGCTAGAACCCAAGGCTCACACAAACAAGCACTCTATCACTGAACTACACTCCAGCTCTTAGTTTCTCAGTTTTTAAATTTGTGGAACCATGGTTTTTTTTTTTATTATTATGCCATTGTTCTGTAAAAATTATGTCGTAAGTACGTCTGTAATCCCAGCAACTCTGGAGGCTGAAGCAGAAAGATCACAAGTTCAAAGCCAGCCTCATCAATTTAGCAAGGCCCTAATGCAACTTAGGGAGACCCTGTCTCAAAATAGAAAATAAAAAGGGATGAGGATGTGGCTCAGTTGTTTGTGCCCCTGGCTTCAATCCACAGTGCAAAAACACAACCAAACAGAAAATTAGTTTGAACTTCTCTAGTATTGTGAGTTGGAGGAAATTTTGTACATCACATGGGTACTACAATCACTAATTCACTTCAACTTTTGTATTGTACTCAAAAGATACTGGAGGGTTCCCCTCCACAACGTTTATTAAAAACATTCTGACACTGATTGTGTATGTTTAAAAATTCCATGTTACTAATTCATATGCATTTTTTTGTAGGTTAATGGCAAAGGTTCCTTATGGTGTGTTGATCCAGAATATAAACCCAATCTTATGCAGGCACTGAAGAAGCAACCTTTTTCCTCAGAGCCTCATAACTGTCAGTGGTGAGTTAGATGGTTTTATTGTGTGAGTTGGAGAAACTTAACAAAGTTGTTCGACTTTTTAATTGTATAGAGAGGTATCTGTGTATGACATTAACCTAAAGCATTTATGTTTACTTATGGTTGAATTTATGTCTAGGAAATAAGAAATTGGATAATTGAGAACAAATAAATTATTAGAAATATAGTCAGTATAATATATGATGAGTAAATGCTAAAGAAAGTTATAATTTTAGTCACAGAAAGGTTAAATCATTTTAATTGTTTGCAATACTACTCAGACCATAGGAAAGTGAAAGTATATTTTAAAATTTTAAATAAGACTATTAACAGTTTGTCATTATAACATTTTTAAATACATTTTTAGAGTTCCTATTTTATTTTTTTCCTCTTTAATAGCAATTTTAATATTTAAAGTTTTGTTAGTTCTAAAAGTTTAAATAGCAAGTAGAATACTTTTTTGAAGGCTCCCCCTTCCTTGTAAAAGTAATTATAATGTATTTTCCTATAATTTCCCTTGGCTTTTATTTTTAAACCCAGTTATGACAAGTACTGTGACACACATCTATAATCCTAGCTACTCTGGAGATGAGGCAGGAGGATGACAAATTTGAGGACAGCCTGGGCAATTTATCAAGACCTTCACAAAATGGAAAAGGGCTGAGGATGTAGCTCATTGTAGAGCAGCCCTATACTTAATGCCCAGTACAGCAAGAAAAACAAATAATAAACCCAGCTACTCCTATGGTTTTTTTTTTTTTTTTCTAGCTTTCTCTTTTTAAGTTAGATCTAAAAATAATGTGAACTCCTTAAATACTTGTAGTGGTAGTCTGTGATGCTTAACTTGTATTTTGAAAACTGTAAAAAGGTTTTTAATAGGGGCTGGGGATGTGGCTCAAGCAGTAGCGCGCTCGCCTGGCATGCGTGGGGTGCTGGGTTCGATCCTTAACACCATATAAAGTAAAATAAAGATGTTGTGTCCACCGAAAACTAAAAAATAAAACAGCCCTAACTGTGCTTTTTAAAAATAAGAATAACTGGGAGAATTGGCACTACTTTTTTGTAAACCATCACAAATGCATCTTACTGGGCCTTTGATATGTTGCATTTTCATGTTTATGTTTTTTAGCGCTATTATAACTGTAGATGTTAAACAAAGGTGGTTTTGTGATTTAAAAATAGATTAACTGACAGCAAAGAGATTATAAATCTTTAACTTTAAAACCTTAATGTAAAATGAAATATTTCCTCCCTTTTTGGTTCATCTGACAGACTTTTGTATAACCCTCTCATGTTATAATTTACAAATCTGAGAAAGGATGGATAAAATGCAATGTATGTAAAAGTTGATTAGGAAGGCAATAAACTTTTCATTCCATTAACAAAACAGATTATTTTGTACTGGCAAAAAGTCCAAAGAACAGAAGATGTTTTTCCCCAAAAATATTTAAATTTATGGAATGGGAGGTAGGGGTGGAAACCCACCTGTGTATGTCTTTCTTCACAAAGAAAGTTTAATTTGATATTGATAATTCTTAATAAAATCAGGAACTTAACTGGTATCATTAGTCTTCATTAAACACTAGTTTTTTAAATGCTTTGATTTCTGTGGTAATAACTATGTTAATACTATATCAAACATATACATATATGTAAAAAATACATATAACACAAAACCAATAACTATTACTGTTGCAGGCATTTAAAAAATATATTTTTAGTTGTAATTGGACATAATAACCTTACTTATTTGTTTGCTTGTTTGTTTGTTTGTTTGATGTAGTGCTAGGCAAGTGCTTTACCACTGAGCCACAACCCCAGTCCTGTTCCAGGCATTTTAAATGTATTGTTCTTATTTAATTTGCCCAACAATTGTGTGTAATTAATTATTTGGCCTAAGAGCACCCAAATAATTGTGATTTAATATTGGTTGAGCGCCAATATTGGTAGTATGTACTCTATGCTCTGGCCGACTCTTCCTAAATTGAGTATTATTAGCAAAATTACAAGGTAAAAACAGTGTTTTTTATGGTACAAATCAGTTCTATTTGTGAGTAAAGTTATGAAAAGCAAAATAAATTAAGCATGTTTGTGTCTTTATTTTTCAGTGGTTCTTTATCACCTCACTACCTAAGCTCTGTTTTCAAGCAGAACCAGGTGCGAACCCTCAAAGGTAAGTGTAAAGATCAGTCTTTTAAATTAAAAAAAAAATTTTAAAAGTTAAAATTCAGCATTTTTTTTTCTGATTATAAATTATATGTTAATTGTAGAAGTTTCAGTAATTAAAACACATAAAAGAGAAGGTAAACGCCACCCTTTATTGTTAATGTTTTGATATAATTCCTTCGGTCTTTTATATATGTTATGTGTGTGTATACACACATATACACACACATTTTTTTCCTCCTAACAGTGGACTTGATGTGTGTATAGTTTTAAGTCCTTTTTTCATTTACCTTTTTTTTTTTTTTTTTTAGAATTAGTTGGACACAATACCTTTATTTTATTTTATGTAGTGCTGAGGATTGAACACCCAGGGCCTTGCACCTGCTAGACAAGTGTTCTACTGCTGAGCCACAATCCCAGCCCTCATTTACTTTTATATGTATTTTTCTTTGAAAATTGGATTTAGTTTCTAGTAACATCTTCAATAAAGTTATCTTTATCTTTTTTTTTTTGTCCATTTAATTACCTAAGGATGGCTTTACATTTATAAAATGGTTGGGGGAAAAATCAAAATAACAATATTGTTTCAAAGCATGCAGAATTTGCTGTAACAGCAGAGTTGAGTAGTTGCAAAAGAGATCTATTATTTCCTTGGTTTTTCCTCCTTGGTTATGCTTTATGCAAAGCATAAAGTATTTACTTTCTGACTCTTTACTGAAGAAGTTTGCCATTCCCTGGATTAGAATATAGTTCAGAATATTTCTCTAATAGGTTATTTAAATGTGAAGAGTTTTTTAGTTGAGCAAGCTAAGTTGACTTTTAAAAATTTTTTATTAATTATTAAAAACAAATTAAAAATTTGAATAAGGGATTTGCTTTCCTTCTCATAATTAATGTTATAGATTAGTGGTTTTTAAAATAGGTTTTTCTAACATTGTTGCTTTGATGCCTAGAGACATTTCCATGAACTTTGAAAATAAAATTCTCAGACTAAAGCCTTTCTGTGTAACAGACATTTTTGGCTCTTTCAAATGATATACTAAGCTGAACCTCAGTAGTGTTGTACTGATGTCTGTAAAAATATGGGAGGGAAAGAGTGAAAAAGCTTTAGAGAACTCTGCAAAAAGTCTAGTGGATAGGGAATTGGTTTTGGATAATGTTCTTCCTTTGCATAAGGCAGGCTTCAGTTTTCTTTTACTTTGTGGGTAAATGTGGTTTCTCTTTACATTTAGATACTGCTAAAACTGCATTATTTTTTTATTGCCTCAATAAATGCTGACCCTTTGTTCTTAAGCTCATTTCACAGATACATGTTGAGAACATATTCTTTGTGGATTCTTGGGCTTACTTAACATCTCTTCTTATACTTGTTCCATTCCATCTAAATTCAGTTTCTTCCTTTGGGGAGTAGACAGTTTCACGATTTTCTCTTAAGTTTTAGCTATAGTTTTTCATAACAATAAGTAGGTATTTCTTCTTCATCTGATGACTTACACATAGTATTCATCACCTCTCCAGTACTGCTAACCTTCCTTCCTTCCTTTTTTATACTCAGAAATCTTGGGCCTGGTCCCCTGATTATAATTAACTAGGTGCAGAAGTTGGTATTCTAGGTTTTAAAACAACTGCGGGTCCATTCTGGAATAGAATAGTAAAGTCTCACAGGTTTTAAAGAGAAAAACATAAGACCCTGCAAAAACTTCATAAAATTTATATCTCAATCTGGATGCTTTAGGATATTCATAGATTTTTGAGAAAATTTGCTCCTCTTCCTCTCTTTACATTATTTCTAGAGAGAAGATTGAATTTTCATAACAAGTAATTATTGATCTCCTATGTCTTGCCAGGCATTGAAGAAGATGCTTGGGATATGCAGAGATGAGAGACTCTGGCTGTTCTTAGAAAGCATACAGATTAATTAGAAAAGGTTGACTAGATTTATACAGAGTACACTGTGGAGAAAGGTAATGAGTGGCAAATTAAACTTAGAGGTAGGGCAGGAATGGCCTCTTAGCAAAGAAAGTGTAAGACTTCAACCAGGCCTCAAAAGTTGGGCAGATACTTAACTTCCATGAATAGAGGTTTGGAGGAGGGCATGCCAACTTGACAGAATCATGGCAATAGAGAAAGTGGTCTGGCACTTGCTGAAAATCAATCTGGCAGATTGATTGGTGTGACTGAAACCTAGGAGAGGACCAGGTAGATGTGGTCTTTTAGCATGGGCAAAAAACAAAGGAGGCAGAAGTTTTAAGAGGATGAAGAGTTTGAACTTCTAATAGTAAGGATTCTGTGACTTACTGTTATGCTTTGCATGCATTATCTCATTCATTCCCTGCAACCATCCTTTAAGGTATTCTTACCCCTTATTTACAAATTAGGAAACTAAATTTTGGAGAGGTTGACTAACTTTTTCAAGGTCACACAAACTTAGAGGGATTCAGGTCCAGGTTCACTTCAAAGCTTGCACCTCCTACCAGATATGACCCATTGGAGGAGCTGCTGAAGAGCTTTAAATAATGGAGATGACATTACCCGTTTTGTGGTTTTATAAAGATCACTTTAGTATTACTGTTGGCTGCAGTATTACCTTATACATTCATCTCTCACTTCATAGAATCATCTTTTCTGATCATTACATTGTAACATTAAACATTTAAGATTAATGGAGGTTAGGTTTAGGAACTCTAGAACCACTATCAGCCAAAACTGATATAGCACTTTGTTTGAAGTATAGTTGTCTCTTGTTCAACTTGCTAACTTTATGTGCCAATATCTATATTACATTGTTGTTATAATAGGTAGCAGGAAACACAGGACTGTCATACTGATATAGCAAAACAAAACTTTTTGGTCAAGATTTTGGCTTGGTGTGGGTTTGGGTAAATTCATCTGTTTTAGAATATTACTGGGCTGTGCTATGGCACTGTTTTAGGCACAGGGTACCTCAGTAAACAAAACAGATAAAAATGGAACTCATATTCTGGTTAGTAAATTTTAGAAACACCTAGTATACTACAAACAAATATAAAATTGAGGCAGTTGGAAATGATGTTAGGGGCTCAGCACAAATTGAAATTCAAATTTAATGTTGAAAATTAGCATAATTTCTGTCTTAACCTGAGTCCAGACCAAACCAATGGACCAAACAGCTTAAAGCTTTGGTAGTTTATTTAAATTGCTATCTTACTGAAAGAGACAGCCTCTTCATTTGGATGCCTTATAAATGTGCATGTTAGTTTGTTTTGGTTTTGGTTTTGGTTTTGGTTTTGGTACTGGGGTTTAAACTCAGGGGCACTCGACCTCTGAGCCACATCCCCAGCCTTGTTACTTTGTATTTTACTTAGAGGCAGGGTCTCACTGGGTTACTTAGTGCCTCACTTTTTAAAGAGACAAAGAGACAGAGAGAGATAATTTTTTAGTATTTATTATTTTTATGGTTTTCGGCAGACACAACATCTTTGTTTGTATGTGGTGCTGAGGATCAAACCCGGGCCACACACATGCCAGGCGAGCACGCTACCACTTGAGCCACATCCCCAGCCCCCTTTTCATATATTTTATTAGTGAACTTATAACCCTTCAAATTCTGTTCTACATTTTTTTTTTTTTTTACTTTATTTAGATGTGGATACTGACATTTAATTTGAGGTCAATCTACCACTGAGTTATATTCCCAGGCCTTTTTACTTTGAGACAGAGTCTCATTAAGTTGTTGAGACTGGCCTTGAACTTGTGATTCTCCTGCCTGTGCCTTCTGAGTCACTGGGATTACAGGGATGTGTCTTCAAATTTGACTTCTATTCCTACAATCTTAATATCATCCTTTAAGCATGGGGACCGAGAATCAGACAATAGAATCATGTTTGTCTTATAACCTTTACTTTCATAGGGCTAAAACTTGTGTCCTAATTTTTTTTTTCAATCATTGTTAATAATTTCTCAGGATTAAAGCTAAGGAAATATAAATCAAGAGGTGGAAATTAACAATTTTGATAGATCTTCATTTGAACAGTTATGAAATTAATAGCATGTTTTGAACTGCCAAATTTTGGTTCCTGGTGAACTGGATATGTTAGATAATATAACTAATAGTGTTGTTTGCCTTTTTTGGGGAGTGGGGGGCTGGGAAGACTGGGGATTGAACCTGGGGTGCTTTACCACTGAACAACATCCTCAGTTCTTTTTATTTTGTGACAGGGTCTCACTAAATTGCTTAGGGCTTCACCAAATTGCTAAGGCTAGCCTTGAACTTGCAATCCTCCCTCAGCCTCCCAGTTTGTCGGGCTCACAGGTATGCCACACTGTACCTGGCAGTGTTGTTGTTTTAAAAAACAGCCTCCTTTAAAATAGTCAAAATGCTTTATCAATGAAAAGTAACATTATATGAAGTATTTTCAGCTCCGTCAGTACATTGTCTGTACCCTATGAAAAAAATTGCTGATTACATTTGTTTATCATAAGCAACTATTTGCTCATTTAGATTGACAATCACTTTCTCTGTGCTGATTAAGCATCCCAACCAGTATCTGGTGTATAGTAGAAGCTGTTTTTTTAAGTAGGAGAACATACACCAAAACCTTAATCTTTAGGTATGTGCAAATATTTAACAATAGCCTCTCTTATGAAGAACATTAATGTTACCATTCTTCCCTTTTCAGAATCTGATATTGATGCTGCCGCTGCAATGATGCTTTTAAATACTTCCATAGAGCAGGGAATTTTAGAATGTAAGTCATGATGCTTTTGTTTTTAAGAAACATTTTCAAATTTAATTTAGAAATACACAAATTATTTCTCTTCAACTAAATTTTCTTTTAATCTGAAAAACTTATTCTGTTTTATTATATTTTCATTAATTTATTAGAGTAATTGAAAGATTGAAGTTAATGCTGTGAAAGATTTTTGCATTAAACAAGAAATGGAGAAAAATATTATATTTAGAAAATAAGTTTGAGCTAAAAGTAAAAATGAAAGGTGTATGTAATAAAATACAGGAAAGCATATTGAGTTCTGACAGCAAAAGATACCTATAAGAAAAATAACATGAATGGTTAGGGTTGTAGCTCAGTGGTAGAGTGCTTGCCTAGCATGTGTGAGACCCTGAATTTGATCCCCAGCACCACTGAAAGAAAGAAAACAATAAACAAATAAAATAATGGGACAATTTTTTTCACTATGTGATAGACAAAGGGTTAATATCCAGTCTATATAAAAAGATCCTCTAAATAAGAAATAATAAAACAGTTTAACAGAAAAGTCATCAAAATATATGAATAGGTAGGTCTCAGATGAGGAAATATAGACAATACCCATGTAAAAAGGATGTATAACTCCTCTAGAAATTAGGAAATGCAAAATAAAATAATATGAAGATTCTATTTTTGTCTAGGAGATTGTAAGAAATGAAAATGATTGATAGGCTTTGTCAAATACTGTTGGATGTTAAATGGTACTACCATTTCAGAGGGTAGTTGAGGAATACCAATTGTAACTTTGTGTTTATATATATCTTTGTTTTTAATCTTTATTTTATTATTTTTATGTGGTGCTGAGCATCAAACTCAGTGCCTCATGCACGCTAGGCGAGCATTCTACCACTGAGTCATGGCCACAGCCCCATGTATATATCCTTTTACTTAGCACTTCTATCTCTTGGTCTCAATCCTAGTAAATTATTTGCATATGCATGAGGGAAACTATTCAGAACTTTCATTGCATCATTATTTGTACTGTACAGGTGAAAAGCTAGGAACAACTTACATATCGACAAGGAAATGGTTAGCTAAACAGTGGTATATTTATATTGGGGCATTCTGTGCAAGTAGTTAAAAATGATTGTATATTCCATGGAAAGGTCAAGACATACTATTAAATGGTTTTAAAATGTTTCAGATTAATGCTTATAGAATGGTATGATCTGGTTAAAAAAGAAAAAAACTACTAAACATTACTAGTCTAAGGCACTTACTGCTCAGTTTTTAGTTGTGTGTTTTTGCAATCAAATGCTTTTGACCTAGTAGTGATAGAAGTTCTCTTTTCCACAGGTGAAAAGCCTCTTCCTCTTAAAACATCATTGCAGAAAAAGAGGAATTATGGTAATGCATTTAATCATCCCAGTGCTATAAGATTACAAGAGAGTGATTCTTCCACCACCAGCATTGATCCAAAAGAAGATCATAATTACAGTGCAAGTAGCATGGCAGCACAGCGCTGTGCGTCCAGATCTAGTGTGTCTTCCTTGTCTTCTGTGGATGAGGTCTATGAATTTATCCCAAAGAGTAGCCATGTGGGAAGTGATGGCAGTGAAGGATTTCATAGTGAAGAAGACACAGATGTTGATTATGAAGATGATCCTCTTGGAGACAGTGGCTACGCATCACAGGCTTGTGCAGATACCTCTCAGAAAGGGCAGCCAGGCAAAAAGATGCGAAAACAGTCATGTCAAGAAATTGATGAGGAGCTCAAAGAGGCAGCTGGATCTCTGCTCCACCTTGCTGGAATTCGTACATGTCTGGGTTCCCTGATAAGTACTGCAAAGACACAAAGTCAAAAGCAACGGAAAAAATAGAAATGCTTTTTAGTGTGAAATTATTTTAAAGTGTGGCAATACTCTTCTACTTAATTCTTTACAAGGGATATCAAAGCCATAATCGACTTTAGTTTTAAGGTGAGGAGGGGTGCCAATTACTTGTTCCTTTCAAAACATTTTTGATTTCTGTTTATTTTTTAAAATTTAACCATTGCTGTAAGGATCATGCCCAATCGTAAACATGTGATAAAAAAGCCTGAGAGCATAATTTTTGTGATAAGTGTCTCTTAAGATTTGGAAATTGTTATATATGGAAATCCCCAGCCTTTGTCTTAACCTTGTAGGAAAAAAATCTTTTCTATTGATATGTCAAAAATGTAACATTGGCAACTTTATATAACTTAATTTTATTTTCCTTTCCAATCTGTAACTAACCATAGTTACTGATCCCACTAAAATTTTTGCTGATATTTTTGTCATATACTCCTCCCTGCCACATGACCTAGTAGGGTAAGATTTGAATTATTTTAATTGTGTCTTATTTTTTGTTTTAAATTATTTGTTGAACATGAGCAAAGTCAAGTATAAATCAGAAAAGATCCTAGATGTCTAGAAAATTCCAGTTAATAATATAGGTAAAAAATCCAACAGAGTGTTGTAAGATTTAGAAAAGAAAATTTGGGGATGTGATTTCATCTAAGAAGACTACAGTTCCTATTACAGTAGTATCTGAAGTGTTTTTACATCATGGATGACGCATAGCATTCACTGGGGCCTTTTATTTTTTCCCAAAGTGCTCTGCAACCACTGTTTAAGCCACCAGCTGTCTATGTGAAGTGGAAATTGTCCACTCAGAGGATATAGCCATAGAGTGTTATGAAGTAACACCAATTTTGACATACTTTTGCAATAAGAATCTTTCATTTGCTTTCCTAAATACATTGCATTCTAAGAGTCTTATAACCAGATGGAGTGGAATACTTATTACTTATGTTATCATAAATGAAAGTAGGTCATTTAGGAAAAAAAAAAGAACAAAACTTTTCAAACTTTGTATGAATTAAAATTGAATGTATACGAAGTAAATTTTAAAAGGCTTAACTGTAGAGCTAAAATATCGGATTTCAACACTCATATAAAATTAGATCATACACAAAACTTTTTGAGGAGGCAGTGTAATACTTATATGTGCCATTAATCCATGCTAAAAGGTTTTTATATTACTATTCCAGCATTGTCTTAAAATGTTTTAAGTATTTAAACAAATCTGCTTATGAGACAGTTTTTCATAATATCATTTATATAGTTTGACTACATTATGGAGAAGGAACAGGGATACTAATACTATAATTTATTACATTTTTTTTTACAATGGTGGGAACAACTTTGGAAAAGTTCATTCTTATGATACATTCTATGTCATAGACAACGACTTAATTTTCATTTTTCCCCATAATTTTTATACGTAGATACACACACACATATGCAGAGTCAAACTCAAGATGTTAATTTCCTGCTTTCAACTGTGTTTATGACTATAAAACATTTTCTTGGATTTTTTTTAAAGAGATAAATGTTTTTATTTTAGCTTCTAAATTTTATTTCGACAAAACTGTCAAAAGAGAAGAATAATAACAAATGTATCTTTCAATTGATAAGATTTTTATCCAGGGATACTAGCATTAATGTTTTCTGTCCTGTTTCCCTGTTAGTTGTCATTGATTATAGATAACTACCTTAATACAATTGGTGCTGTTGAAATACAGTAATTTTTTTCATTTGTTGATAATGTAGGATGAGTTATTTGGACTTTTTCCTTCATAAATGTCACATCTCCAGCAAATAGCTAAGCCAGGTTAACCTCTTTTACTATAGACAGTGAATAAAACACCAAAAACAAACCAAAAAAACCTTTTACCACGGTGTAAATAGTAAAGAGATTACAAAAATGGATGTATTCACCGCTGTAATAGGGATCTTCAAAGTGTCTTCATATATGTAACTCCTTAATTTCTTTGATTTTTTTTCTCCCTCTGTACTTATCCAACAAATTTAAATGTTTAAGCTACATTCATCATTAGCAAGGACAATAAACACTGTACTAACATCTACCAGGGAGAAGCTAGACATTTTATTTACACCTAAGTCTTGTACAGGATTAGTGTGTCATGTTCTATTTGCTAATACAACATAGCAGTTATTTTCAAGGGGAGCAGCTTTTTAATTATGGTCCCGCTGTTCTCACTCCTAAGGTGTGTGGAGATAGAAACATGTCTCATAGCCATACAATTAAGGAAAGTCATTCCAAGTCCTGTGGACTAGAAATTGTATTCCCAATAATAAATTAATTTTGCTGTAGTCAGAACAATTTGGAAACCCCAGAGAAGTTACATATTTTTCAATAACTGTGACTTAAATTAACATACAATTTGCCTTACATCAAAAAAATAGAAAGTTGGTTGCAACCTATTCCAGTTTATACTAGATCCCTAGTGAGAGTTTTTTCTCAGCATGATTAATCTTCATCTGTGAAGATGAAGAATCTGTGTTTCCCGAATATGTATTTTTGACATTTGTTTGTGCAATATATTACTAAATTAGTTAATATTTTACTTTACAAATTCAGAAGAAAACAGATTACCTGCATTTGTGGAAAAGCTAACTATTGGTGGATACCTCCCTTTTTCCACCTTTGAGCCTTTCCTGTCCTCATAGTCAGCATGACTTCTCTTAAATTAGATTCCTTTGTATATTGTAAAGTTTAGTATATATATATATTTTTTCTTTTGCTACTTTCTGAGGCATTATGTAAAGGGTTCATATTAGATGGTCAGTCAAATATACGTTAGCAAAAAATTCAAAGCTAGAGAAAGTGTTAAGGAGGGAATGTGTGTGTCTTGGTAGGCCAGGAAGCCTTCCCCAGCAATTTAAGCAACAGATGTGAATACTTCACAAAGTGTAAAGACTTTTGTCTTAAATACTACAGTAATTTAACATCATTTTGTGAAGACTCATTTAAGAGACTTTGAGGCTTTCTGGTTTATATATACTTTATAGTTTTATTAGTTTGAAATGTGTAAGCTTTGATTTAAACAAAGTTTACTTCAGTATGTTAGATGTAGTCAAAATATTTATTGAAAGGGAAAATAGAATATTTTAATGTTATACCTGCCATTTTTTCTTAAAGTACATTCTTTGCATCTAACTGCCAGTGCCGTTGTCAAAACTTGTTTCTAAAATTGTTGTACATTTTTTTATTAAACTAAGTGCTTGATTTTAAAGTATTATGTTGCCATCAGATAGTATATAAAAATGTATAATTGCCAATTCATTATAACTACTATTTATTTTTAAATGAAAGTATAAAGATGCTTTCTGTTTCAAGAAATTTGTTATTAAACTGTTTTCTCTTTTTTGATGTAGCATAAAAATTGTCTTCAGTTGGAATTGTAACTGCCAGTAGATGACCAGTCACAAGTGAACCACTTCTTAGTTGCCAGTCTTTGCTCATTTTAAAAACAACTTACAAATGTTTAGTTTTTGTATCTAATCTCTGATAATTAAAATGTTTATAAAGTTTATTTTTACCAAAGAGATACAATTCATTATGATAAAGTATTGCAGAGTAAACTTTGTTTTGTAACATTTTTTGTGCTTTCTCTGTTCTTTGGGGGGTGAGAGGAGGGACAGTGTAGATGCAAGGTGGCACATACTTCTACACACACACTAAGTGCAGTGGTGTTACTTCAAAAATATCAATAATACCATCTGTTTGAAAATTGGAACATGTATTATAAAATGGATTAATTTACAAGCAACGTTTTGATCTTAAGTTTTCAACCCCCATTAACTTCTGTACTGATAATTTAGTCTTTTTTACATGGAATTATTTATATGAAATGAGTCAAATGAGACAACTATTGATTTTAAACTACTACCACTCTGTGTCCTTTGCCTTTTAAGGCATCCTCTTGAAATAGAAAATGATTAAAATAATAACCATTCGGGGGTCATGATGTATTCTGAAATACTTTTATTCTCATTATTGCATTCATTTTCTAGCTCATACTAGTCTTGAAATAGAGAAATATATTTTAGCAAAATAAATTATTAGAGTGGACTTGAAATACACAAATCTTTTTCTCAAAAATTTCAGGACATACTAACTTGATGTGATTTTAAAATATAGAAATAAGACTGTCAAAATGTACTATAACTTAGATTTCAAATCACTGAAAAATCTTCAGGAATAAAAATTAATTTTAATCTCAGAAATAACAGTAATTATCTGGACACCGTGTGTATGCCTTGTAGTCCCAGCTACTTAAGAAACTGAGGCAGGAAGATTGTTTGAGCCTAGGAATTTGAGGTCAGCCTGGGCAAAATGGTGAAAGGCTGTCAAAAAATAAGTATATTACATGAAATTTGAAATAGAGAAAGTTTATACGTTTTCCACTGAAAAATAGCTCTGTATTACACAGAATATTTATGGAAAGTTTGAATTATAAAAGTATCTTTACAAATCTGTTGAAAAAGTAACCTTTTCTAGGGAACATCAAGGCAAGCTCAAAGGGCTTATTTCCTAATGTGGAAAGCAATAATCCCTTCTTAGTGATTCTCACACAAAATTTTTGTGTAAGTGGATTTACTTCCATTGTACATTTTCCTCAACCTTCAGATTTGGACTCCAGTAAATATTTACAAGTCAGTCTTTGAAAATAAAAGAGGAAACCAAGAGTTGGGTAGAAAAGAGATCATAGGAAGTCGAATTAGAGGAGATTTATGAAGCTGAAGCACAATTGCTGTCTACTGGTTGAGGATTCTAAAGACACTGCAATGTAGCTAAATTCATATGTTAATTTGTAGAAAGGAGTTGAGAAAAAATTTCACACCTTGAGAGCCTCTTTTCACTTTTGAGTTTTTGTGTGCCTAATCCCAAGCATTGTGCTTTAAATCTGTGACATACAATATGTGCTAAGAAACAAAAATAGACAATCTCTGAAACATGTAAATATGTAATTGTGAATTGTGATTGCTACACAAGAATAGGGCCTAGAACATATAATATATAATCTGGGATTTTAGTGGTGGTTTCCCCTAGAATGTGACTTAAACTGGGATCTGAAAGATACATGTTAATCTGGGAATAAAAACGTGGTGAATTGTTCTGGGCAAGGGTAGCTTCAGAAAGATCCTTGTGATACCAGAAAACATGAAACTTTTAGTGAATTAAAGGTTAGTGTGAGTACAAAGAGTTCAGGCTGGGATCACAGCATCTGGGAAAGACTTTGAAACTGTATGCAATTTAAGAGATCACCTTAAGACTTTCACTTGCAGCCATAATGGAGTGGCAGGACAAAATTTAAGTGCGTCTTTAACAACAACAAAAGCGGACAAAATATTTGAAACAATATTTTTTAACAAGATCCATAAGAATGTTTTACCTATAGCCAGACTAATGAATAGAAAAAGGACACAAACGAAACAGTACCTATAGACAGATTATACAGATATTGAAAGGATGCACATGAATAATATGAAGAATTTTATATGAATAAAGTCTACAACTTAGAGAAAATGAAGTTTCTTAAAAGACATACAAGCAACATACCAGCAAACAACAAAATGAGCAAAATATCTGAAGAGAAAATTTATCAGAGTAGATAAACAAATGGCAAATAAGTACATGTACTGATGTTCAACATCATACATTATTAGGAAATTGCAAGTTACAACAACAATAAAGGAGCTGGAGTTGTGGCTCAGTGGCAGAGCATTTGCCTGGCATGTGTGAGATCCTGGGTTCAATCCTCTGCACCACATATAAATAAATAAAAGATCCATTGACAACTAAAAAAAAAAAAATACTACCACACCCCTATTAGAATGGCTAAAAAAAAAAAAAACTGACAGTTTGGCAGTTTCTTACAAAACAGAACATACTCTCCATACAATCCATCTCCTTAGAATGTATTCAAATGAGTTGAAAGCATTCCATAAAAAAGGTGTAGAC